GGGAGGCAGAGACAAAGACAGAGACAGAGAAAGATATGAATTATTTTTGTTTAGTAGAGTTTCATGGCACTTGCAACTCAAATAGGTGAAATAAATGCCGAAGATCGGAGGTGTTACTACCAGAGGTGAGATAAGGACAATAGATAAATGATAGGAAAGAAGGATCGGACAAAATACACTAGAGCACCCGCCACGCACCCACAACTAGGTTTCACAGTAAGCCAATATAAGACAACAGCAATAACAATAAATATTTCACTCGCAGGTGGTCAAAAGAGAGACACAAGCAAGTGCAAATAAATTATGTAAACAAATGTGATTTATTTCATAAAATGAACAGAAATGTGCAAAAGTACAATAAATATGGTTGCGTACAACGGTAGGGGGATAGAGATGGGTGACCCATCGCTACACGTCACGAGGGTAAAGCATAAACATCGTATCTGCAACAACAACAACAAAATGGAGACATCGCTCTATTTTCAGACTGCGTTTGTTAATAGTAATAGAAAGACAATTTTTCTTTCATTTCTTTCAATTTATCCGAATCTCCCTTAGTAACGGCATGGAAAGTGAATAATAATAGGCTTCCGGTAACTCACTTTATAATCATCACATTTTCGAAACTAAAGTTTCATCTCATTTTTCCAAAACAATTATAATTATTGTTATTTATTATTACTTCTGCAGATAGAACTATCGTGCCTTATCCCCGCGGTTGTTGTTGTTCCACTGGCATAATTCATTACATAACAATCATCAACAGCCACCAACATGGCTGACATTTTTTAAAATTTGGCATTCAAGGGCGGGAACTCTTCCATTTTGTTCAGACTTTGATGATGGCTTTTCCGAAGTTAGCCCCCTTGAAGAGGTCAAGGAATGCTTGGGGCATGTTCTGGAATCCGTTGGTCACTGTCTCCTTGGGCTGAAGTTTTTTCTGGAAACATAACGGGGATATTGGTTAGGGACATGACATGACCTCATTTTCATAAAGCAAAATAATATTATAATTTTAATCTGTAACTGTAAAACGCATAGAACTTGGTGTTGAGCGGGGATGTGGGCAACACAAATGTATGAATAATATTATCACGCCAATGTTTTGGTAATCCTGCTTCTTTCTCCTGGATGACGAACTAATTATACCTCTATAGCTGTTATCCCTGGCTCAGAGGTTGAAGGGCAATGTGTAACGACCCCCCCTCCCCACATTTTTTTCTTTTTTCCCCCCTGCTTTCCTTCTTTCCACGCCTTCCAACCATTTTTTCTCTCTCTCGCAATATGTGTTCCCTCCCTCTCGTTCCATACTTCAATTCAGCCTTCCCTCCCTGTGTCACGTTTTATCTCTTTTAAATCATCCCTCTATCCCCACCCTTCATCCCATCCATCCCACCCTCCCTCAATCCTCCCAGCCCTCCCTTCCTCCCTCATGATTCATCTCTCAGTTCATATATCCTTCCATCCATCGCTTCTTCCCTCCGTCCCCCCCCCCCTCCTTCGCTCCCTCCCACAAGTATCTCACCTGCTGCACAAGAGCTGTCAGTTCTTTCCTCACTCTGGGGAAGTCGTCCAGATGTTTGAAGATCAGGAAACCTTGAACCTTGGCCTCAGCCATCAGGATTTTCACGTATGGGTTGGGCACTGAAAGTAAATAAAAAAAGATTATTTAAATTCTAGTTTTAGTACGAGTTTAGTAGTAGTATAGGGTTTTACGGCGCCCGCAATTGCGTAAGGTCATATGAGCGCGCTAGTACGAGTTTACAGCACTTGCAACACAAATAAGTCGTAATATAAACGTCGAAGATTAGAGGTGTTACAAGAGGCTTTAGTTTTATTCAGAATTTTACGTTTCTTGTAACATAAGTAAGTCATATTATATAAGTGCCAAATATTCTAGGTGTTACAACAGAATTTAGTTTTAACTCTTACGGCACTTGAAAAAAAAAAAAGGTCGTATTAGTGCTGAAGATTTGGGGTGTCATAAGAGAGTTTCATGCAAAGAAAAGAAGGATGAGATAATAAGGACGATAGACGTTTTATAGGGAAGAAGGAGCAAACCACACTAGAGCACCCACCAACCACCCACTGGAACTTGAATTATAAAAATGAAAAGAAGTTGAGTGATGTTGAAGTGAGACCATTCAAGCAAAAAGGTTGTTGTGTAAACTGTTTTTCGATGTTTGATCTAACCCCCA